TTAGTTACTGTCTCGTTCCTTGTGTTATATTTATATTTGAGTGATGTCCCTTGAATGTCGAGTCTCTGTGTACTGTGAAACCGTGTTGTTGATGTCAGTAGTGAGTTTGTTCTGAATGAATCTGGAGAGAAGTTGCTACGTGTGAATAACAAAGTGTTGAAGTTAACTTGATGGCGTCTGTGTAATACTCAAAGTGTTATAAATTAAGTCAAGTAACACAGTTTAGGACTACAAATAATAAAACTGTTAGAAACAGATAACCAGTTTACAGAAATTTCGTTCACTGAAACGTATACGGCAACGCTTTTTGCACTACACTAGTAAAAGAAATTCCGTTCCTGCTTTAGCAACTGGGACCAAATCAAAAGGCGACCAACGATTTTTGTTATTATATTTTTAAAAAGAAAGTTTATATATTAAATAATTATTTAAAATAGTTCCAACAGATTATTTAAAAGCAATATTTTTAATAAATAAAAAACACAAAAACAACCATTGAACAATTTAAATTGTTTAATTTCCTGTGGAAAACAGGTTGCTTGAGAATCGTAATACCTTACACATAAATCCACGTCTGGGTTTGGGGGGGGGGGGGGTGTTTGGGGCTTGACACCACATTTTATAAATTACTACAAAAGCAATGATTTTTGCAATTAAAACTGTTAGAGTTGCTTTTCTAGGCGGATTACTATAATGTTTGCACGAATTGACGTTTTTCGACAAAAAGTTCTTACTTTTTTTTTACTGCTTTCTTATCGATAATTGTGATATGTTAAATTCATTAATTTTATATTCTTTTAAAAGCTGTTTGATATATGGTTAAAATTAGTTTTTTTTCACGGATTTCTGTCATTTTTTCTGTCATATTTTTCAATATTTAATAAGTTAAATGAAAAAAAATTCTTTTTGAAAATACTATTTAAACGTGAGTGTTACAAAATAACACAATTTTTAAAAATGTTAATCCGTTGTAAATAAATTAAGTTAAGAGACGAAAATGAACAATGGGCAGCATTAGCAATAAAAAGTGAGCAACAGATGAATAGAACTGGTTGGCTAGCCATATTGACAATTAATTCACGCCTTAAATCCTTGTGATCTATAAATTCTGTATATATTATACAATGGATTAAGTTAAATTATAATAATGTAATTACAAATTTAGTATACCCATAAAAGGTAACGAGCTTCCAGTGAATTCAAACGTTGTAAAAAGTACTTGGTCGCTGTGTTACTCATGTGCCTATAAATTAAAACAAGAAGACCGAGTTCTGTCAGAAGTGGGTAGCTTTAAAAACAACTAAATACATCTTGAAAGAAATGATTCACTTGAAACATATACAAATGCGTATACATATACTTACAAGTGTATATGATATATATATATATATATATATATATATATATATATATATATATATATATATATATATATATACATATATATATACTTGGTTCCATGATAAATGATCTCAGACAAAAGATATCAAGACAAATCATCTCAAGGACTAATGATATAACGGACAAAATTTATCAATACAAATTATGTAAGGACAAATCATACCATGTACAAATGATTTTAGACAAAATATCTCACAGCATAATATTTCTGGTATTTAGGATGCTTTTAGTCGATTTTAACATTTAACAAAATTGATTGGCCTTTGGTTTTTATTTACTTTTTTTTACACATAATAATTGTGAGAAAAGGTTTGTCGCATAGGTTTGTTACATTATATTAAACCTAATATAATTGCAATTAGAAATATAATATTCTTAGATTAAAACTAAGTTTCGATAGACAGTGTAGGCGTTTTTTCCGAACATGAGACAATCCTACCACATCAGGGGGGCGAAAGTAAATCAAAGGGTAATCTCATCTATGGAAGGGCTAAGAAAACACACCAACGGAACAAGGTGGCCGCTCGCTTTGTTTGCGGAGACGTACCCTAAATGAGATGTTCGCTCTCCGTGGAAAGTGGAAAATACAACTATCAATTAAAGTCACTAGTTATTATTCGGTCAGTAACAATTACTTACTTAAATGACAGTGGTCATTGCGGATGAAAGTTAATCATAGTGTGTATGCCGACATAGCAGTATCACAGTGATTACCCAGTCATGACATCTGTCTTACATCGTAGAAAGACATTTACACTCAGAGGCGTAGCGAGGGGGGGCGGGGTGCGGACCGCACCGGGTGACACCATTTAGATGGGTGATACCAAGGGAAACATTAGCAAAATATATAGAGAAAAACTTGAAGGGGGGGGGGGTGCAAATCGAAAGTTTGAGGGGGGAGGTTGCAAATCGAAAATTGGAAAGTTTGTCCCCGAGAAGGGTCACTACGCCTCTGGGGGGAGGGGGGGGGGTGACAACATTAAGTGCCGCACCGGGTGACACCCGACCTCACTACGCCACTGTATACACTCATACGTAGTCAGATTTACGCTGGATAAAAGCCAGCAACGTAAACTTAACATTACATCGGTGTTGATGATGCAATAAAAATTAAATTTTGAATAACGAACCTGAAAACCGAAATCACCTTTTTAAAAACTATTTCATTTGTTTTGAACATTAATGTGACTAAGGCTTCCACTATTGTATTTGTTATATGCATTTTCATGTCTTATACACTCATACAACATGCTATTTTAAAAATTTAGTTTACATATTCTTTTACTACATCTGACATTAATTATGAGTAAAAAAGTCTAATAAAATTTATGTGACAGTATCAAAAATGTTAAAATTAATTAAAACCCTCCTAAATGATATATTTTTTTTCTGAGATCAATTTTTCATGGTATCATTTGTCCTGAGATTTTTTGTTCGTGAGATCATTTGTTTTGAGATCATTTGTCATTTGAGATATTTTGTCAGGGATATTTTGTCGAGATCATTTGTCCTGTCACCACATATATATATACATATATATATATATATATATATATATATATATATATATATATATATATATATATATATATATATATATATATATATATATATATATATATATATATTACTTTTTTTTTGGGGGGTGGGGTGACAATTAGGTGTCGCACCGGGTGACACCCGACAGAGCTACGCCAACATACGGCAGTCGAAGACATCTACACACGAACACAGCCTGACGAGGACTGATCTAAACTATTTCCCCAACAACCGAATCTCACTCTCACATGTCACATCCTTACGTCCCTCGTGACATACAGACAATTGTATCAATATAAATCATTCCACTACACACATACTCTCATACCCATGCAATACAATGAAATATCATTTACAACAATACGCCTACCTAGGCTTAGACATTCACCTATCTAGACTTAGACGTACATCTACTTAGCCTTAGACATACACTTAACTAGTTCTAGATATACGCTTAGTTAGCCTAAATTATATACCTGGCAGTAGCACTTGACTCATTATTCTAGCACAATTTTCAGATTTTTTTTTATTGTTCATCTATTGCAAAATAGCATGGTTTGACGTGTGAATTCTTATAGATATTGTTGTTGAAACAATAGCCTACATCAATTTGTCAAGTGCTAACTTGACTCTGATCCAAAGATTTAGTCCTCCTTTTTATCACATCATAGAGCTAGAGTTATCTGAAGCCAAATATTTACAAAAATTAGCATTAGGTTTAGCTCAAGAGTTTTCCAAAACTCTTGAAAGATTATGCGTGATGTATAATTAATTTAAAACCGAGAGATGCACAATTAATATTTTAACATCGTCACATAAAGCCTATAGGCGCAGGCGCACGAGGCATCAAAAAGTGAGCGCCATCTTGTCTCTAGCTATAACCTCTGTCTATAGGAATGTTAGGCCTCGTTCCTTTAACTCTTTCTCCATTGATCTTCTCGGTGTTTCATTTTGGTCACCCTCGTTTTCTCTTGCCCTTTGGTGTCCATCTGAGATCAGTCCTAGCCAATACGTCTTCTCTCAATCGTAACACATGGTCCATATTTTAGTACACTTATCACTTTTGTTATGTAATTTTCACTACGCTCTTTATCAGATTTACGCCACTCATATAAATATACCTTTCTGTTTGTTGCGTCATGTCTTGTTTAGTTACTGTCTCGTTCCTTGTGTTATATTTATATTTGAGTGATGTCCCTTGAATGTCGAGTCTCTGTGTACTGTGAAACCGTGTTGTTGATGTCAGTAGTGAGTTTGTTCTGAATGAATCTGGAGAGAAGTTGCTACGTGTGAATAACAAAGTGTTGAAGTTAACTTGATGGCGTCTGTGTAATACTCAAAGTGTTATAAATTAAGTCAAGTAACACAGTTTAGGACTACAAATAATAAAACTGTTAGAAACAGATAACCAGTTTACAGAAATTTCGTTCACTGAAACGTATACGGCAACGCTTTTTGCACTACACTAGTAAAAGAAATTCCGTTCCTGCTTTAGCAACTGGGACCAAATCAAAAGGCGACCAACGATTTTTGTTATTATATTTTTAAAAAGAAAGTTTATATATTAAATAATTATTTAAAATAGTTCCAACAGATTATTTAAAAGCAATATTTTTAATAAATAAAAAACACAAAAACAACCATTGAACAATTTAAATTGTTTAATTGCAATGTAAATATTTTTAAAACAATAAAATATATAATCATCTGGCTTGTATAAGGCCAAAATATTTAAACGTTCAGTTTTCGACGCAAAAATGCAAAACGCTGACATAAAATTTAGTAAAACTATGTTAAAATACAGACATAGATTATATATAGGCCTACACTTATAATAATATTATAAGCTATTAATTAACAGACTAATAAATAATGATCAGATACACGGTAATAACAAATTACAAAACATACCACAAAATTAGTGGCGATGTATTTATGTTATAAGCAAGAAGTTTTTTTTTTATACATCGCTTTTTAAAATTATAGATTTATAATAAATACGAAATAAAATTTATTTATAAAACATGTAGTAGTAAACCTAAGCTATCCTTAAAAAAAAAACGTTTGATACTCTTTCAGAAGCATCATATTTATTCAAGGAAAACAAATGTCCATTGGATTCACAAAGATCATGAGTAAAATGTCCATGATTAAAACGTCCAAGGGACACTATCGTTAGTTAACTTGGTAAATGTCGACGTAACCCTCGGCAATTTTTGAGTAGCCAGGGGCCATCAGCCTGCCGTACAATGTCCACTTCTTCTCACTGACCAGCCTCTTGGCCTCGTTCTCCCAAGCCCGTCCGTAGTCCAGGTTCATCACCGTAGTACGGTAGGCGTTGATGATAAATCTGGGGAAATAAAAGTTTGGTCTAGTGGAAGTCGTTGATGATAAATCTGGGGAAATAAAAGTTTGGTCTAGTGGTAGGCGTTGATGATAAATCTGGGGAAATTGAATTTTGGTATGATTGTAGGCTTTAATGATTAATCGGGGGGAAATGTAATTTTTTTTCTTTTGGTGTGTATGCGTAACTGAAAAATCAGGGAAAATATACATTTGGTCTGTGGCAGGCGTGGGTGATAAATTTGGGAAGAAAAGATTCGTCTAATGGTAGGAGTTGGAGAGGAGATGAAGATAGGTCAAACATTGAATAGCCTATCGGATGGCGGTAAGTAAATAAGTTTTATTTAACTCGTCAACGTGTCAAAATCAGTCATTTCAAAGATATTTTAAATATCAGATACTCGATCCTGGGGCTGAATGTTCCCCCTCCCCTCCATTCGATACTCACCCCCCGGGCTTGGTGATCCTGATCAGCTCTATCTGACAAGATGGTGGCAGATGGTTCTCACACACGGCACCGCTGATGGTTACGGCGTCGTAGGTACCTGTACACGATTTGTAGTGAACGTTAGTACACTTGATGTAATGGAATGGCGTGGTCTAGATGTAGAGCTCCAGACTGCTAACCCGAAAGTCTCGAGATCGAGTCCGGATTTACGTTAGTAAAACGTCCGTGAGTCCACCCAGCTATGATAGGTACCTAACACACGTAAGGTAAAGCAGAGGCGTCTCAGGATAGTGCTGACCAAACTGTTTCTTCTTATGCCTAGATCATAGAAAGAGGTGAACTCAACATCTACTGCCTCAAGGGCCGCCAAGGGTTATAGGGAAGTTACGCACATGGTTTGTATGTGAGGGTAGTTCAAAATGAATACTGACTTTGTCATAACGTATTGCGTGCTTTGTTAGTCTATCGTTTTTCACAGGGAACATGTCCCAATTCAATCAAACATAACTGTTCGTGTTATCTATCACTTTTCACAGGGAACTTTGTTGCTTACCGTTTTTCACAGGGAACTTGTAGCCCTCGTCAACGATACTACAGATGAAGGACGAGTAGACGTTCTTATCCTTGCAGATGTCCAGCATAGCCTGAGCACCGTCGTGTGCTACAATTTTCCTGAAGCCTCGCTTGTGAAGCTCTTCACCCACCCAGCCTAAAAGGAATGATGTCATGCTAAGATGATATGATATTCGTTCTTTAAATGCCACCTGGTTATATAACTCTGTTCCTCTTTAATGTAACTATCAATCTAAATGAAGATAATACGTTTTGTGTTTATTTTTTATCATCGTTATTTTATTGGGATAAAATGCTTTAATTAACCATTTTCTAAAATTTATTATGATACCCTTTAGTGGGTAACTTTATGATTACTTCTGGTATTATCTCAATATGTAACATATATAATGAATTATATGGCATTTAATTAGTTTGTTAAATGTAAGGGTATAAGAAAAAATTCTATAAAAGTAATTAGTAAAGTTATTTTTTTTAAATCGGGTATAAAATACAAAACAGATAGGCCTACGTTTCCAATTTGTTTCCGATTTATTTGTAAACGGTCAAGCGAGGAGTAGAGTTGAGATAAGTTGAAGGGGGGGGGGTGTTCAGGTACTGGTAGTTATTCCCATACCAGCATATTAACAACCAATCAATGCATTCAAAGCGAGAACACTCATCCGGTGTAATGACTTCACTATGACGTCAAACTACAGCTGACCATGACGTAAGAGTGACGTACCTGTCCCAGCGGCGACGTCCAGCACCAGGGCCTTGGCTCTGTCCTGGATGAGACCAGACAACAGGTCAGCACAGTAGAGTGGACCGCTGTAGTTCAGCCTTAAGGACAGCTCTTCGTAGACCTTCACCTTCTCGCCGTCCTCGTATTCTGTTGGTTGATGGGAATCGTTTGTCAATGATAGTGGCTGTTGCTGTATTAAGCATGTCGTTTTGTAAATGATAGTGGGTCTCGCTCATTTAGGTATGTTGTTTTTATATGATAGTGGCTGTTGCTATTTAGTCACGTCGTTTTGTATATGTTAGTTGGTGTCGCTTTATTTGGCGTTTTTAAATTATGTGCCCTAAAACTCTAGTGGAGCATGAAGCATGAATGCACATATAAGGGGGCGAAATAGAACATGCAATGTAATAAAAAAAATGCTTGTTGAAAGAGATGCAAAATATCATGGTCCAATATTTTAAAGAAATATTCTATTGATGCATTTCACAATCGAATGGTTCGTGTTTAAAACCCATTTAACAGAATTTCGTCACAATTACTTTTAAAAATATAAGAGATATACAAGCACGTCTAATGATAGAAGCACCTGCAGCTTCTAATGACAAAAACACAAGCTCTTAATGACAGGTGCACCATCATGTCTCACCTTCTATACACTGCTTGATGCCCTTGCCTGGCATCTGAAAGCCGTAGATATAGTTGTCGGCCTCCACTTCTTCAGGGCGTCTTTGGACTTTCTTATCCATTATTGTTATATCGCAATTATTTATTTTGTACTTGAAAGACTAGTATTGCTTTCTTCAATGTGTCAATGTGTCTCTGACTATCAGAAACCAAAATCTACTCACAGAGTAAGATCACCAAACTGTAAGACAAATTCAAAAGTATTGTAAATACATTTGTAAGCTCCAATTACTATGATGTGATAATACGTAAGTTAAGAATGCACGTTAGGAATTTCTTCAAACATTTACAACGAATTTGATGTTATACTTTAATCAAATGAGATTACACGTGTTTGAGTGTTTTTGGCGTCTTGAGGTTTAAGGGTAACGTGCACCTAACTTCAAAATATAAACTATTTATAGAATTCACTGAAGCTACACCTGTAAATTGACAAGCAAAACTTATTTTGTTTTTGTAGTGGTTATTTCATTAAAATATAAAGGAATAGTGGGGGAGTTATGTTCGGGCGGAAAGCTCACTGTTGCTAATTCCAAAAGCCCCGAGTTCAAACCCCGAGGTGGATGAGGCTGAGAATAGCAACCAATTCGTTTAAAAAAATTTAAAATTAGCCGTGCCGATGGGTGGACAAATGTTTTAGAAGCATAAGCTATAAGCCATTCGGCGCTTTACATTCGAACACGAAATATTGATATATTTGGAGAAAATCCCCGTCTTTTCCTAATATCTAAAAGCCCATCTGTGCTCTCTCTCTCTCTCTCTCTCTCTCTCTCTCTCTCTCTCTCTCTCACTCACTCTCTCTCTCTCTCTCTCTCTCTCTCTCTCTCTCTCTCTCACTCACTCTCTCTCTCTCTCTCTCTCTCTGCCCCAAACATATTTTCCGAGGCTGTGAGATCAGTATCTTCAGCAAAATATGGAAAACTTAATGATACGGGATTTTGTTGGAAATAATATGTTGGATGTATTAAATGTATAAATTAAGATTTATTTTATAAACACGGAAAATAAAAATGAAGGAATATTCGAATGTGGAAACACAACTTAAATTATACAACCAGGAGAAGTATTTATGGGTGTGACTCGAACGCACAGTAACTATTACTGGCAAAGAGAGTGACGTCACATGTAACAAATAGAAAAATATTTTTAAGAAACAATTTTAATAAAAAGTTTAAACTACGTAAAGCACACAACGCTAATAGTGGCATTGATTGTAGGATAAAAATATAATTAAACATCGAATATCGAAAATGAATTTTAGAATATGAAGATATGAATTATTTCATTCAAATTTGATTTAAATTTATTGATCTACTTATCAGTTCTACGCTAACTTTAAAAAACAACAAAAATACCATTGAATAGCCGGGTTTTTATCGGAATTCATTATTGTACAAATATGATTATTAATAAACTTATAATATGTCATTTAATTTTAATACATTTAAAACAATCAAAATATCATGCGTTTCTTATGTTGGTGTTTTTTAAACCCATTGTGAAAACATTCTACGAGATCTATATTGTAAGTTTTCCTTTTTTATCACTACCAGAAAGGTGTAAAAAAAAATATTACAAAAACGATTCACTTCTGATAAATTTTCTAAACAATCCAGCATGTTTTTTACCCATCTGATATTTCTAGTTCAGTTTTTTTGGCAGTTTTATTTTTCGTTTGTTGATTTGAATTTTCTTTTAAAATAATTCTTGTATAAATCTCAACTGAATGTAAAAAAAAAAATCTTGTTCATTTCGTTTAGTGAATTTTGGTTTTCGAATTTAATATATTAAAACAATTTTATAACAAGTATTAAAAACTAGAAACATACACAAAATTTAGAAAAAAATATAATATTTGAAATGACGGTTACATTTGCTAAACAACATTCGCGTTTTAAAAACATAAATTAACCTCATGATATTATTAATAAGAATAAAATACAAAATACCTGAGCTTGCAGTAGCACATCAACTTACTACCCCGCTCCTTTTATTACTGGAAATTTAATAATAGACCCATCCCTGTCTCATTAGGCAAATCATCCACTAATCTCTAATTAATTCAGAGTTCTTTGAATAACAAGGCAGCTTATCGAACGAGTGACAGCATTTCAGATGACTTAATCCTCGATTCTGGGTATGTAGCACACGTCAGGGTGAAGCCAATTCTAATAAAAGAATTTTTATTTGGAGTGGGTTTTATGGTGTCGGTGAGTTTTTTTCCAAAAATGCTGATCAACTAATAATTTTTAGGTTACCACATCGTTTGTAATGAAATGGGTGTGTAGGGTTGATGCTAGTGGTTTACCGTGTGTAAGAATATAATATTAAGTGGGTATTTACGTATTACGCCGTGTGTAAGAATATAAAATTAAGTGGGTATTTACGTATTACAGGGTAAATTAGAATATAAAGTACCTTGATTAAACATTTTTAATATTAGATCACATGATATCAGTAGCAAATCGAAATCTTGAGAAGGGAGGGGGGGGGGGTGCAAATCGAAAGTTTGAAGGGGGTGCAAATCGAAATCTTGCGTATTTCAGTTAAACACGACCCAGTTGTTTTTTTTTTAAATTGAATGTTATAGAATAGAGAGCTCTATGGCTAGATTAATAAGTTGGGAAATTAGTTACATAGATCTTCTAAATACAACCACGATTTTATATCCACCCAGGCTTTGTACTAGCACGCGTGGTTGAGTTGGGTGCTTGTATCATGTTATGTGTAACTTGTTGTATTTTATAATCTGCCTTGTGTTATGTGTCCTGTGTTGTGTGTCTTGCGCCATGTGTCATGTTTTCTCTGTCATATGTATTTCAACAAACATATTGGTAAATATAGAAAGTATACTATATATATATATATATATATATATATATATATATATATATATATATATATATATATATATATATATATATATATATATATATATATATATATACATATATATATATATGTATACATATTTATATTCAAGTGTTTAGCTTAGTTTAATCATCTGTTTCAACGACCTCGGCATACAAGGAGATTATGCGGTCAGCATTACACTCAGACGCCTTCATTTCTCTAACGTGAGCCAGGTTTAAATGTAACGGCTGTATAGGTGATTTTTATTACTATGTGTAACGAGCGGAAAGGGACAGGTGAATGTGAACGTGTCGATAGATTGACCTTAACAGCCTGCTGATTACTCTAGGGGATTCACCCCCCCCCCCCGTTTCCAGTTTTTCTTCGTGAGCTTTTTTCTACGGAGGAGGTGCACTTGAACTTTTCGGGTGGGGGGGGGGGGGTTAAATTGCCTGGGAGGGCGGACACTGTTAAAAGTATATATTTTCTACATAAATTCCATTTCTTTCGGGGGACGGGGACGGTAACCCACCCCCCCCCCCCCCAAGAGATGCCTGGAAGAAACACTACCCTCTCCCACCACGTCAACACCTCCTTATATCAAGTACTTCCAGTACATAACCTCCGCCCAAACAACTGCAGTAGGACATTACCCCCCCCCTTCCCTGAATCAATCAACCACCCTTTATTTACAGGAACAGATATAGTAATAATTGGTACAGTTAAAGTGTACAGTTACAAGAATAAGTACAGGTACAATTTCAGGGAATAGATAAGAGATTGGGAATGGAATTAATTACGTTAATTTATAGGGAAATCGATAAGGATAATGTTATGAAAATTATATGGGATATTTTGGGTTTAAAATAGGGATTGCGATAGAGATAAGGAAAAGGATAGGGATAGCTATAGGAATAGTTAAGGTATAGAGATAGCAATAGTCAAAATTAAATACTATAGGGAAACACATAATGAATCGGATATGTCTAAAATAGGGATAGTGATAACGATGACTATAGCAATAGGCATAAGGATAAGGATAGGAGTAAGGAATAAGGAAAAATATACGGGATTAAGGATAATAGGTTAAAGGTTAAGAGATAAAGGATAAGGAATAATGGGTAGGTGTTAAGGGTTAAATGATAAGGGATATGCTTCTATTCATTAGTATGTTTGCGATTGGGTTTATGGTTGTGGTTAATGTTAGTCTTGCCTACATTTTCTATATCGTCCACATTTACACATAGGCACTTAATTGAAAACTGGTTATATTTCCAAAAACCGGTGCAGCGACGGGTTTTTGCTGCTAGTTCGCAATATAAATGTCGCTTTAACTGCCGTGCTATGTGGTGCTATCACTTAATCATACACAAATTATATAAGGCACGTGACATTTGACTGACGTGCAAGTGGATGGTGAAATTAATTACTCAACCAGGATAAGTCGTATGTAGTCCACTGTTATTTAAGCAGGGGCGTTACTACTGTACCGCCAGATCGCAATGAAGGAGAGGCGTTTCTTTCAGGCGTCGTTCGAGCACTGTCCTGTCCTCCCACCCCTGAACAAAATAGAAAAAGTAATATCCTAATATATAAAAGACCATGTGCGCACTTGTCTCTCTCTCTCTCTCTCTCTCTCTGTCCGCAAAATATTTTAGCAGGGTATCACATCAGAATCTTCAGCGATATATGGCGAACTTGATAAGAACTTTTGTTGAAAAAAATATGGTAGATGTTTTAAATGTGTAACCAACATTTTATTTAAGGAAGAAAAATAAAAAATAAAGGCATATTCGAATGTAGAAAAACAGTTTTAATTATGCAACAGGAAAAGTGTTTATAGAAGTGAAAAAGAACCCATGAAGCAATGACGTCACTGATGTTTAAACATTAACTAATGACGTCATCTGCCGAGTTTAGAATAAAAAGAAATGAGCTATTTCATTCAAATTTGATTTAGATCTAGATCTACGTACACTATGAAATGTATACAATACAATTTTTCCGGCCTAAACTTAGAAAATTTATTTTATCTATTTGCATTCTAGATCTAGAGATTCTAGATCAAGACTAGATCTAAATCTACGCAAAAACTAGACGTAGACGCTAAGTCGCTAAGATCTAGATTTAGACTCTATCTACTCTAGAATCTATTACAAAAATAAATTTCTATATTAAACTATTTCAGGCCCTAATTATTTTATAGAAATCTTTGTTTGTTTAGCTATGGAACTGGCTAATTTGGGATAAAAAAAATTAATTTGAAAGAAGAGGCATATTAGCGTAAGTTAAGTTTTTTTAAATACGTCTTTCATTCTCCATGTTTATAAGATACCTAAATAGTTGAGATGATCGTGTACTTAATACCATGCAGGTGGTGCGGGATCGAGATACACCAAGACAACTTAATTTTTTTTTTATATGTGAATCTTCCGATTTTAGACTATAAAGAAAGGAACTACTTCAATCAAATTTGATTTAGATCTAGATCTATAGATCTACTCATCAAGACGTACGCTATAAAATATATACAATTTTATCGGCCAAACTGCTACAAATTACTTACAACATAATGACCATTGAATAGCCAGATTTTTAACGGAATCATGTAAGTCACTTAATCACTGTGTGCATGTGTTATGTTAAACGTGTCGGATTTTTAGCTAATTAGTTATTTCCTTGCTTTGTCACTAATATCGTTCAGCGTGTATTAAAGCACATTGCGTTTTGATCAATAACTATTTCATAAATTATTTACTTAAACAAGTACAACATTTAAAAATATATAGCCCTAAAATTCACGTGAAATGGGTACCGATGGATAGTTATTTAAATAGAGAGCATTTTAATAAGGAAATTTAAATTGAGAAGTGTTGAAAATCCACTCTCGCAAAGGTATGTAGTAATTAAAATTCGAAAGGCCATCCATGACATCTTTGGGTATGAATAGTGCATACTACACCAAAATTGTGTGAGTAGGTATTCATTAAACACGTTAGATGCCGCGAGGTCATTACACAAATACAAGAATTCATCGTGTAATTCATCAGGAATGCTGTCAACGTCAAAGGTAGCAGAGAATGCAGTTTCTTCTTCTTTCAGCTCATAGAAGTTACTTTTCAAGAGATTCAAGATGCTCAGAAATCCTTTCGGGCGTTTGTCATATTCGGGTAAGTGTTCAGTAGGGCATTACTCGAATTCGGGCAAGTGTCCATTCGGGTAATCGGCCTTCTGGCAAACGGCATTCGGGCAAGTGTCTTTCGAGAAAACGTCTGGCTCCCCTTTTCGAGGGAAGGCAAAGCCCCTCCTTACCCCCCCCCCCCGTAAAACGTCGAGTGCAGAAGCCTCCATCCCCTCCACCCCCCAAATCTACCTTCGGACCTTTGTTTTCCCCCGGGGGGGGGGGGGGGGCATTTAAATTTTCAGGGGGGGGGGGCGGACACTGGAAAAAGTATATTTTCTACATAAATTATATTTCATTATATGGGGCGGTAGATGTTCTTCGGGAGTCTGCATACAGAGTTTCTTTGAGTAGGGAGACAGAGCCCCTACCCCCACCCCCTGAATAAATTCTACCGCCCGCCCCTAACCCTGAACTAAATACAATTTATATATAAAATATATACTTTTACTTTATGTCATAAGAGCTTTGGTCGCTCATCAGATCTTTTACATTTATTTTTGTGACAGAAGCTTTTTTTAAAAGCTTGTTGATATAATGTTTTTTTTTTAATGTATGTTTTTTTGTACTTGACCTTCGTTTAAAAATATAAAATTGATCTACATTAAGTAAGTTATTTTGTTTTCTGTTTTTTAAACCTGCTGTCAGTTTCAGAAAATAAAAAATATTGTATAATGTGGAAAACATGTTTTCTACGCCACTCATCTAACTTGACGTTTAAATGTTGCACGTTATGTCTTGTTAGTTATTGTTACACTTTCTGTTGTATCTATCTTAGTTTAGTCTCTTGAATGTCGAGTCTCTGTGTACTGTGTAGCTGTGTTGTGCTTGGAGTATAATGTAGACGCCTTCACGTTAGCTTCAATACTTAGTTATTCATGAACAGCACTGCTCCAACTGCACGTCTTCTCTCATGACTTATGCATAGATAACTCTCTGACATCAACAACACCGGCCTTATTTCCTGTCGGCCTTTTGTCTTGTCGGTCTCCTCTCCATGTCAGCCTTTTGTCCATCTTGTTGTTTGTTTTTACTTTCTCGTATATACGAAGTATAGAGAAAGTATTTTAATCGTGCACAAAAAAAACATGAAATTTTGACAGATTTCACAGTTTTACTCCTCAGTCCTTCATCATATCCTGAGTATAGAGGACTTATTTTAATCAGGCAAAAATTATAAATACAAATAAATAAACGTTTTGGCGTTTTATGCGTTATCGAGTCGTAAAAACTGGACTTTGCAATTCTGTCCGTATGTCTGTGTGTCTTTGTGTCTGTCTGTGTAAACACGACAACTTGAGTACCGTTACAGCTAGGTTGATGAAATTTCATATATAAGTATTTTATCAAAATCGTAGATCCGTATCAACTTTTGAGCGATTTCCGATAACCGGAAGTGGTACTTTTTCTACTTTGAATTTTTCAAAACCCTATAACTTGATTTTATATAAGAATACTAGCCGTCCCGGCCAGGCCCTGCTCTGGCTTCTGTGAAAAACCTTTCTGTTAAAGACCATTACCTGTGTGATTAGTAATCATCATAAACCCGGCATTTCATACCCAAACCACAACCAACCAAAACCAAAACAACAAAACGCAAACATAACGCTAACACAATTACAAATACAAACGAAAACAAAAACCTAACAACAAACCCAACCACAACCACAAACACCAATACAAACACACAAAAAAAAGCAAACGAAAACAAAAACCTAACAACAAACCCAACCACAACCACAAACACCAATACCAACCAATAACAACACACAAGCAAACGAAAACCAACCAAATCCAAACGCAAAACCAACCAAAAAACACAAATACAAACCCAAAGAAAAAAACACAAACAAAAACGAAAAAAGAAAGAACAAAAACGAACCAAATCAAACCGCAACCACTAACGCAAACCCAACGGAATTGCCTGTTTTAGCTTAATAAACGACTATAGTACCCCAACGTATTCATAGTCTTTTGCACTCACTTAAACGAACGCGCCTGTTTCAATTTAATGAACAATTTTAATACTCCAAGCTTATCCGTAAAATACCTACAACATTTGCACTTGATCAATCCCCGCTAATTATGTAATTATTTTTTCCCAACACCAAAACAAAGTAATAAAAAGTAAATTCTTTTCCACTAATGCAATGGTTTTATAAAGGGAATTGTGTTTTCCTAATTTATCAAAGGGAAGTAAGTGCTATAGGACTAAATAAAGACATAATTAGAATTTTTGTAAAAGGTGATATTTTTTAAAAACTTGTGTTTAATGAACATGCCGAAAATTATTACTTTCAGTTTGATAAATGAAAATTATTTCCCAAAACTTTCAATATTAATTTTTTAACTCATAAATTTAGACCATAATGACTTTAATTATCTAACACTTAAATCCATCGAAGTATGTCAACGACAACTTATCACATACAGAATTGAGCTTTATATATTAGATTCGAGAAAGTTTAGGGGAGATCACTCCCGGTTTATTATTATTTGTATCTAATGTACAGAGTTTCTTCCAGGCATCTCTTCCGGGGAGGGGGGGGGGGGCAAAGCCACCCCCCCCCCCCCGGAAAAATTTTTACCACCCCCGAACGAAATGAAATTTATATAATTTATATAGAAAATATATACTTTTAACAGTGTCCGCCCCCCCCCCCCCCGAACAAAGTCTACCGCCCCCCCCCCCCCCGAAAATTTCAAGTGCCCCCCCCCCCCGGAGAAAAAAGTCTGGAAGAAACACTGCTAATGTAACCAACAAACAAAGCATTTCAGTCAGTCTCTTTGTGGTTTTCATTCATTTTTATTCATTTATTAAAACAAAAAATACAATACAAATAAAAAAGTCGTGTTTTTTTTAAATTCATTTTTAATAAATTGTTAAAACAAAAATACAATACAAATTAAATCGTGTTTTCCTAATGTTTTGATCGTGTTTTCCTAATGTTTTGGTGTGTTTCGGTTATTATAATAAAATACGCTCAACTGGAGGTAAACAAGCAATGGAGAATAAAATACGCTAAAATGGAGTTTTACCGGATACTCTTTCAAAAGCATCACATGTATTCAAGGAAAATAAATGTTCATTGGATTCACAAAGATCATGAGTAAAATGTCCATGGTTTACAAACGTCCAAAAGACACTAGCGTTAGTTGACTTGGTAAATGTCGACTAAACCATCGACGACGTTGGAGAAGCCAGGGGCCATCAACCTGCCGTACAGCGTCCATTTCTTCTCACTGACCAGCCTCTTGGCCTCGTTTTCCCAAGCCCGTCCGTAGTCCAGGTTAAGCACTGTCGCACGGAACACGTTAATAATAAATCTGGGGAAATATACGTTTGGTCTACTGGTGGATGTTGACGCAAATACGTTTGGTCTAAAGCTAAACATTGTTGTGGGGGGAGAGGGGTGATGGGGTTAAAGATTGGTGTAGGCGTTGGCGATATGTATAGGTTAAATATTAACTAGCTAAGGTGACGCTAAGGTAATAATTTTAGTTTGGCACACATTGAGAAAAATATAAAAAATATAGCGGCAGTGATCTCCCCTAAAGAGTAACCAAAGTAATACTTCCGGTCACCGGAAATTCCTCAAACTTTGACAATAATACAGAGAATTTTTACATTTATGTGGAATTTCACAGTACTTAAAACAGTAATTTTGAAAAACGTAAAGTAGAATACATTTCAATTTCGGTTACCGGAAGTCGCTGAAAAGTTGATATAGAACTACAAATTTGATTTATATGCTTATATTCGAAATTTCATCAGCCTAACTGTAACGGTACTCAAGCAATCGCGTTCATAGACACGCACAAACACACATACACACACAAATACACACACATACAGACATACGAACAAAATTGCAAAACTATTTTTTCCGACTCACGGAGTTGCAAAAAGTTAAGATTTGTAAAAAAATTGGAATTTTTTTTTGCACGATTACAATACTTCCTCCATAAAACAAAACATTAGACATCTTTGTTTGAGTTTCTTCAATAAAATTATTAAACAGCTTTTGTAGTAGTTTTGATGGCTAAGTACCCGCCTTAGTGATGCCCTGATACTGCCCTAGGACCCGCGATTAATAATTCCGAAAATGCCCCTGGATATATTTATCCCTGGTACTTACTTCCGGCTTTAATTTTTCTCCCCCACCCCTTTCTGATAATTACCTCACCTTTGCTTGTTTACCTTGTTAATCGACCCCCTGGCTTGATGATCCCCCTCCCTACCATCCTATACTTACCCCCGGGCTTGACAGTTCTTCCCCACTCCCTCCCATCTGGTACTCACCCCCCGGGCTTGGTGATCCTGATGAACTCTGCCTGACAAGATGGTGGCAGATGGTTCTCACATACAGCACCGCTGATGGTCACAGCGTCGTACGTGTCTGTACAAGATTTGTAGTGAACGTTAGTACACATAACTTGAACATGAGTTATAGAGAAGTTATGTACCTATGTATGTGGTTTTACATCAAAATGTGTACAGACATTGTCACAATGAAATTAGTATCTTGTTTAAAGTCAAATTGGGTTACTCTTTTCAAGTGGAACATGTCACAGCTAAATCAAAACAGGACTGAATGTCAGTACTAGCCTAACTTTTCCCACGAGAAAGTTGTCACGATGACTAAAACATGAATGAATTTCAGCACTAGCTCACCATTTTCATAGGGACAGTCAGTGATAGTATTCCTTTTTATTTGTCAAAATTAAATCAAACATGACTGGCAGTACTATCTTACATTTTTGTTATCAATGAACTTACACTTTTTGAGAGGGAACTTGGTTGCTGGCTTACCGTAGTTTATGGGGAACTTAGTTGCTTACCATTTTTCACAGGGAACTTGTAGCCCTCGTCAACGATACTACAGATGAAGGACGAGTAGACGTTCTTCTCCCTGCAGATGTCCAGCATAGCCTGAGCACCGTCGTGTGCTACAATTTTCCTGAAGCCTCGCTTGTGTAGCTCTTCACCCACAAAACCTAAAGAAAAGGAATGGTGTAAGGATAAATTGATATAAAATGATTTCTTCTAATGCGACTGCGTTTATTTAACAGTGTACCATTATAGTGCATCTATTACGATAACTGAAACAGTTACTTTCTGTGTTTATTTTTTAGAACCGCTATTTTATTTTTGTGGGTTAAGTGACTTTTGCCGATTTGTAAATAAATATGATACACTTTAGAGGGTCGATTTAGGATTGCTTCTTGTGTTAACTGTATATGTAACCTGTATAATGTTAAAAATTTATCAAGCATTTAATTTGTTTATTAAATGTAAGATCCTGTAAAAAATAACTACAGAACTAAATAGTAAACTAATTTGTTTACTAATTTAATTTTATCGGGTCAACCGAGGTGTAGAGTTGAGAGGATGTAAGGGTGGGAAGATGGGGAGGGGGGGGGGGGTAAAAACACAAACAATCTTTTCTATGATCTTCTTCCACCACGACCTCGGAATTCTTTTTCAAAAACGTATCCCACGTATGAAAAATTAGTTAGTGTAATAACAGTGATTAGCAAATTTCATCTAAATCGGTCAAGTAATATGCTAATTATGCCATGTATACAACAATGCACAACATGTCACAATAGAGTAAAATATCAGTAACACCTCATTTATAACATGCAATTCTGGAATTCAATTTTCTAAGTATTAGAATGGGGCATTTTATTTGAAGAATAAACAATTCATAAGCGATCTAAAAAAAATAACTAAACTTTTAATAAGCGATCTAAAAAAAAATAACTAAACAATTGTTTTAAATTTTAAAATATTTTTATTTAATTGATGCAACTTTTGAAAATGTAAAGCAATAAAAAATGAAACCTCGTGTTTAAATTGTAGTAAAGAGGTGCGGAAAAAAAAACTGCAAAGCAATATTACATTCGTGTTTTTAGTTAGAAAATATTTTGGTCAAAACACATGTGTAGAAAAATGGCCACCGTATAGAAAGGGAACATACGCATATTAAAGACCGCTCAATGTATTCAACGCAAGAAATTCGAAGCTTGAGCGTTCAGCAATTTAATTACATAACTACGGGTTCAAACTAAACCTGGCCGTGACATGAGAGTGACGTACCTGTCCCAGCACCAACGTCCAACACCAAGGCATTGGCTCTGTCCTGGATGAGACCAGACAACAGGTCAGCACAGTAGAGTGGACCGCTGTAGTTGAGCCTTGAGGCCATCTTTTCGTAGAGCTTCACTTTCTCCGCGTCCTCGTATTCTGTTGGTTGATAGAAGTCGTTTGGTATACGATAGTGGTTGTTGCTGTATTAGACACGTCGTTTTATATACGATAGTGGTTGTTGCTGTATTAGACACGTCGTTTTATATACGATAGTGGTTGTTGCTGTATTAGCCACGTTGTTTTGTATACGATAGTGGTTGTTGCTGTATTAGATACGTCGTTTTATATACGATAGTGGTTGTTGCTGTATTAGACACGTCGTTTTATATACGATAGTGGTTGTTGCTGTATTAGACACGTCGTTTTATATACGATAGTGGTTGTTGCTGTATTAGACACGTTGTTTTATATACGATAGTGGTTGTTGCTGTATTAGACACGTCGTTTTATATACGATAGTGGTTGTTGCTCTATTAAGCATGTAGTTTTGTCAATAAGTAGGTGTGCTGTATTAGGTAATGTTTTAAATTCTTTGCTTCAAACATACAGTCGTTAATAATATTACACCAAAAGAGAAGGTACTCCCTTGTATGCATAAAATCATGGTGAAATATTTCAATGAACTATTTATTGGTAAATTTCACACACAAAAATAGATTTTTATTGTCGTCGAAGTACTAGATCGGGTTTACCACCAGCATCTAATGATAAAAGCACACCTGTATCTATTTATATCATTAGTAGCCCGATAGAGATACACAAACACTTCTAATGATTTCAAAACGAGCATATTATGTAATGATATAATCACCATTAAAAATTAAAATTAAAACACCTTGAAAATAATAATAGGATCACTAGCATCAAGTGATAGAAGCACCACCAACATTTAATGATAGCAACATAAGCACATCAAATGATAAAAGAATCAGCACATCTAATTAAAGAACCACTACATCTAATGATAGTAGCGTCGTCACATAAAGATAGAAGCATCGCCATCGCATAATGATAGAAACGCCATCATGTCTTACCTTGTATACACTGATTAATGCCCATGCCTGGCAATTGAAAGGCGTTGATAAAGTTGTCCGCCTCTTCCACCTCAGGAGTTCTTTCGACTTTCTTGTCCATGATCGTTAGATCACAATTATACAATTTGTACTTCAACTTGCTAACTAATTGCTCTCTTTCTTTTGTGCCTGACTATCAAAAACCAATATCTATTCCAAGAGTAAAACCACCCAACTCTAGAATAAAGTTTATCCTGAAATTAGTTTCATGTGAATATAACATAAATTAAGAATAAAGCAAGTATTTAGGAATTTTTTCAAAAGTAAACTCAGAATTTTATGTTCTACTATGATCAAGTGAGTTTTAGTGTGAATGAGTCTTTTTCGGCGTACTGGGGTTGTTAAGGGGAGTGGAAAGTTAACCTCCAAACGAAGCCTGCTTATAGAATTACCCCTCTGTCTAAGCAGAAAATGTAACTGTAAATTGACGTGCAAATCCGTTTTGTTGTAGTACTTGGTTATTTTGAAATAAAAGGAAATAATGGGGGCGTTTTTGGTCAGGTAGGAGAGGTCATCGCTGTTAGATCTAAAAGTTCTGAATCCCACCCCCTTGGTACATAAGGTTTTTTAGCTGAGAACAGCATCCCATCTTGTTGAGAAAATATCAGAATTTGCTTTGCTGACTATAATCTTGGGTGAACAAAGGCTGTGAAAGTTATCTAGAAAGTAAAGCAGCCTGAAGTCGAAATCAAAAGGGTCATAAGGCGCATAACAAGTTGACAAATAATAAGTACTAGATGAATGGCCCGTTGAGGGAGAAATACAATGGGCACTAGGTTGATAGTGTTGTTTTTTCTCTAAACCGAAAATAAAACAAAAACGCCACCTCAACCTGAAATTTAACAGGAGACGAACAAATGTCATTGAAAATGGATTTTTATCCAGAATCAGCATTTAACCATGATCTGGAAATTTAATGTGTAATAAATAATTTGTTTGTATATCTACATTCACTTCTATAATCAGACAATTAAATAAGGCGTTAATTTTGTTACTCTAATATCAATGACATCATAATTATTGTGTATCTTTTTCGGTATTCTATTCTAAATTATATTTATTATTCAACAGTCAATGATTCCATTCTATTGTGCGTATAGATGCTAAATGTAGACATTACCACAATACTTTATCTGGTAACCTTGATCTAAACGTAGTTACTGCACATTGATACTTAATATAGTCATAGTCATACACATACACCTTGCACCTAAACTAAAACGTGATAAAAGACGCATTGGCGCATCTCTACTGTGGGGAGGCCTCCTCAAACAAAATAGATTTTATATAGAATAAATCTATTGTTACCACTGCTTACTTCCCCCACCCCCCGGAGAAAAAAAGTCTGAAAGAAACACTGGTCGCATTTGTTAATCATACATTCTGATGGGCGACGCGACATCTGCTATCTAGATCCGTTTCCTACGTTTGGCCACTAAACCTCAATTATGCAGACAGTGTTTCTTTCAGATTTATTTATGGGGGGGGGGGGGGGGCATTTGAAATATTCGCGGGGGTTGACTAAATTCTCGGGAAGGGGGGAGCGGGTGTGGACTCTGTTAAAATTATATATTTTCCTATACTTTGTTATGGAGGGGGGGGGGGGGGTCGGTAGACGTTCTCCGGGGGGGGTGTACTTCGCCCCTCCTCGAAGTGATACCTGAAAAAAACTCTGTACGCAGACCACTTTTAAGATTAGACAAATAATTAGTCGGTTATTGTCTTCGTCATTATTATTGTGCTTGTTTTTGACATCGGATTTTGAATTCTATGTTTACTCTAGAATCAATGACGTCATTTTATTATGTGTAATTTTCCGGCTTTAAAACTTTTCATATTTCGTTTCGTTTGGACAAATTACTAGTAGTTCCTTTTGACGCCCCTGTGAAACTCTTTATTTTCCTTGTGTATCCTCTATAGCGTTCCGGACAGACATACAGACAGAATGGCGAAACTACTATTGTGATTGTGTCGTAGCAAATCCACTCCAATATTCAAATAAGAAATACTGCGCACCTTAACAGCTATGAAGTATGTTATTGAATAGTTAAGATTGTTGTTTATAATAATTTCATTGAACTCTATATATCAGACAGATTTCTAGGTAAAGGGTTATCCATAAATGACGTCACGCTTTTTGACGATTTTTACCTCCCCCCTCTTCTCCGGCACACATCGTCACAAAAAGCCAACCCCCCCCCCCTCCCCCCTAAAATGACGTCAAACCTCAGTCTACAACCACCCTCAAATTGGAAGTTGAATTTTTCTTAAAAAGTAAAAACTTCCCTTTTCAAACCTGACGGTCTATAGGGCAAGTGAAGTAGAGTTCACTTGTTTCTGTGACCTCGGCATATGAAGGGATAGTGTGTTCAGCACTATGCCTAGCCGCCTTTAACATGAGCTAGGTACCCATCAGAGTTGGATGGACTCAGGGACTGTCTACTGACTTGAACCCGGATTCAAACTCGAGACTGAATTTTTCTTTAAACATCAATATTTTTCCAAAATCTTGTCTGAACTCTGTCAAAATAGAGTATTTTAATCAATTCCTATTAAAAAAAAGCTTTATAAAACGCGATATAACGTCTAAAATTCATTGCTTTTTTTTAATGCAAAAGAGTGACGTCGCACATCCTGATCCCCCCTCCCCCTCATTACACACGGTCACAAAATTACGGACCCCCTCCCCCCTACGAGTGTGACGTCATTTATGAACGACCCCTAATGTAAAATTCAATTTGAAGATAGTTACAAAATACTTTATTCTAAAATATGATTATAGATAAGCTTGTGATAGGTCATTTAATCTTAATAAAGTTTTAAACTAATTGCAAATAGCTGGATCCAACCAAACTTTCAGTTCTCTTAAAAATAACATTGTGAGAACAGATTCTTCGAGATCTATATTGTAGCTTTTCGTTTTCATCTTCACTATAGAGGCATATGAAGTAAGAAAACAATTCACTTCTGGTAAATAAACACCATATAGATTCTAAACAATCAAACATTTCCACAGCTGCCACCTCTAGTTCTATAGATGTCAATTTTCTTATTGCTTTGTTGAATCTCGTCCTTAGTTTGTCTTATTTGAAATTGTCTATCCGCAAAAACGTATTAAGTTATATGATTTTAATTCCCCTTCAAATATTTATTGTTAAATTTTCAACGGGGTGAACGTTCTTTCTTGTTATTATCGTTCGGTGAATTTTCTGATTCTAAATTTAATCATATTTAAAGACTTTTGTTATAACAAATATTAAAAACTAGAAACATGCGAAATTTTTGTAAAAAATATTGAAATACATTTTCATTTTGAAAATAACATCCACATTTTGAAAAATAGCTGCATGATATTATTAATACGAAGATAAAACAACATACCTGAGCTTGCAATAGCGTATCAACATACACTCCCTACAATTTTATAATGGGTACATTAATAATGGACCCGTCTGTTTCATTAATTAAATCATACGCTAATCTCTAATGATTTTGGCGTCAAGTGAACACACAAGGCAGATTATCGAACGAGTGACAGCATTTCAGATGACTTTATCCTAAATTCTGGAAGTTAAAACAATCTAAAAAAAACATGTTTATGAGTGGTTTTCGTGGTGTCAGTAGCTATTTCTAAAATGGTGATCAATTAATACTCGTTGGATTGGTGCATCGTTTGTAAGGATATTGGGTTTATAGGTATTTAAAAGTGCATCGTGTTAAAGTGTAAAGTTCAAGGGTGGATGCACGTGCTACACAATTGAATTAGAATATAAAGTTGACTGGTATATACAAGTGATACGGTGCCCTGTCAAAACGACCTGGGACAAATCGGCCCCGTCAAAATGGCCCCGTTAATATGACCCCGTCAAATCGACTCCCGACAAACCGACCCCGTCAAAATAGCACCGTCAAAAGGGCCCCGACTTATTGGCTCCCGTCAAATGGGCTCCCGTCATATTGACTTGCGATATATAGGCTCCCGACAAATGGGCTCCCGACATTCAGGCTCCCGACAAATGGACTCCCGACATATTAACCCCTGACAAATAGGCTCAGGACATATTGGCTCCCGACAAAGCGGCTCCCGACATATTGGCTCCCGACATAAGGACTCAAGACAAATGGGCTCCCGACAAATGGGCTCACGACATATTGGCTACCGACAAATGGGTTCCCGACATATTGGCTCCAGGCAATTGGGCTCCCGACATATTGGCTTTTGACAAAATGACTCCCGACATATTGGATCCAGACCAATGAATGACCATTATTGGCATAAAAGTAACCATTTTGTCCTACCTCCAATACCACTATAAATTCTTTTGAATGCCCGAACGAAATTGTTTTTCATGAACCAACATTAATTCACAAACAAATCGAGCCCTTAACAGCTAAACTCCAACAATTCTAAAGTTTTGATAATGTTTAATTTACAACAGAAAAGATCTGTTGTAAATGTATGATATACATAATGTTTACATGATAACAGCATCTTGTTTTGATAACCAACAAGCATAATGCAGGTAGGAAGGTATAGCTGGACCCTTCTCCCCACAGACTGAGTTGGAACAGCCTATCGACTCAATTATGGATGTCATAGATAGATGACCCTTAAATTAAAACATACTATATTTTATAATAAATAAACTAATATAAAAATAAGGCCTGCCGAACAAGAGATGCATACGTTGTATTCAGTGGCGGAACTAGAAAAAATGGGCCACCCCGCATAAATATTTTTATCTATATCTATATCTATATCTATATCTATATCTATATCTATATCTATATCTATATCTATATCTATATCTATATCTATATCTATATCTATATCTATATCTATATCTATATCTATATCTATATCTATATCTATATCTATATCTATATCTATATCTATATCTATATCTATATCTATATCTATATCTATATCTATATCTATATCTATATCTATATCTATATCTATATCTATATCTATATCTATATCTATATCTATATCTATATCTATATCTATATCTATATCTATATCTATATCTATATCTATATCTATATCTATATCTATATCTATATCTATATCTATATCTATATCTATATCTATATCTATATCTATATCTATATCTATATCTATATCTATATCTATATCTATATCTATATCTATATCTATATCTATATCTATATCTATATCTATATCTATATCTATATCTATATCTATATCTATATCTATATCTATATCTATATCTATATCTATATCTATATCTATATCTATATCTATATCTATATCTATATCTATATCTATATCTATATCTATATCTATATCTATATCTATATCTATATCTATATCTATATCTATATCTATATCTATATCTATATCTATATCTATATCTATATCTATATCTATATCTATATCTATATCTATATCTATATCTATATCTATATCTATATCTATATCTATATCTATATCTATATCTATATCTATATCTATATCTATATCTATATCTATATCTATATCTATATCTATATCTATATCTATATCTATATCTATATCTATATCTATATCTATATCTATATCTATATCTATATCTATATCTATATCTATATCTATATCTATATCTATATCTATATCTATATCTATATCTATATCTATATCTATATCTATATCTATATCTATATCTATATCTATATCTATATCTATATCTATATCTATATCTATATCTATATCTATATCTATATCTATATCTATATCTATATCTATATCTATATCTATATCTATATCTATATCTATATCTATATCTATATCTATATCTATATCTATATCTATATCTATATCTATATCTATATCTATATCTATATCTATATCTATATCTATATCTATATCTATATCTATATCTATATCTATATCTATATCTATATCTATATCTATATCTATATCTATATCTATATCTATATCTATATCTATATCTATATCTATATCTATATCTATATCTATATCTATATCTATATCTATATCTATATCTATATCTATATCTATATCTATATCTATATCTATATCTATATCTATATCTATATCTATATCTATATCTATATCTATATCTATATCTATATCTATATCTATATCTATATCTATATCTATATCTATATCTATATCTATATCTATATCTATATCTATATCTATATCTATATCTATATCTATATCTATATCTATATCTATATCTATATCTATATCTATATCTATATCTATATCTATATCTATATCTATATCTATATCTATATCTATATCTATATCTATATCTATATCTATATCTATATCTATATCTATATCTATATCTATATCTATATCTATATCTATATCTATATCTATATCTATATCTATATCTATATCTATATCTATATCTATATCTATATCTATATCTATATCTATATCTATATCTATATCTATATCTATATCTATATCTATATCTATATCTATATCTATATCTATATCTATATCTATATCTATATCTATATCTATATCTATATCTATATCTATATCTATATCTATATCTCGGCTTTCACAATGGTTTAAAAACAAAGGGAAAAAGAATACAAGAGCGCGTGGTGGTGTCTTTAGAAAAAAAGATAATCCAATCGCAGCTATAGTAATCTTTTTACATAACAACCATCAAGTTAAAAATGCAAGAAAATTATATTTTTTAACTATATATGTTTTTTATTATGGTCGGCTGTGGGCCCCTAAAGGGCTTGCCCCCACCCCCCCCCCTGTGTCTGGCGGCACTGTAGTTCCGCCCCTGGTTGTATTACATAAGAGTGTTGGATAAGCTAACTCTAAAGAATGTTGATGAAGGGTTCCCACTGGCAGGTGTCATATTCAATGAGACCGCTTTGTCGGGCGACTTAGTCTCTACAGAAACGGTATTGTCAGTGGTCCTTTTGTCTGGAGCCAAATTGATAGGAGCCTTTTTGTCGTGAGCCAAAATGACGCTAGCCTATTTGTTGGGAGTCGTAATGACGGGGGCCGTTTTGTGAAGAAACTAAATGGCGGGAGCCTATTTGTCGGGAGTCGTAATGACGGGGGCCGTTTTGGGGAAAAAACTAAATGACGGGAGCCTATATATCGGGAGCCAAAATGACGGGAGCCTATTTGTCGGGAGCCTTATTGACTGGAGCCTTTTTGTCGGGAGCCTATATAACGGGAGCCTATTTGTCGGGATCCTAAATGACGGGAGCCTATTTGTCGGGAGCCTATATGACGCGGTCCATATGTCGCTGGCCCTTTTGACGGGGCCGATTTGACGGGGTCGTTTTGACGGGCCCGTTTTGTCGGGGTCGTTTTGACGGGGCCGTTTCGTCATTGGCCGAATTGACGCCGCACGAAGTGATACACCGTGTAAGGATAAAAGTTAGGAGTGTGTATATGGGCATTAGACCAAGTGAAAGAATATAAAATTATGAGGGTATATACATGTATTACACCGTGTGTAAGAATATAAAATTAGGAGGGTAGCTACTTCCAATATCAGATCATATGTTATACTGTATTTTCATCAAATGTGACTTTATTTCAGAGGTGGAGCTACGGGGGGTGGAATAAATTTTCATGGCTGCTGCTTCTAATCTGACCGTCATTAAACAGGTTATTACTGCTTCTTCAACTAGTACAATTCGTTCTGCTTTTGTTGTTGACTATGTGCGAGAAGGTAGCGCACATCTGCTAATTCCAATGTGTCCAATGGATTCCAGTTTGTTTTCACTAGCTTGTTTCATAATAGAATTAACCAGTCAATTAAATACTCATGTCGTATTTCAATGCGTACTATAAATGTTTCTGATACTTTGCTATCGTGTATAACCTATATGACCGTATTCTAACAAACTTATAACCCAAAATTTAAAAATTCATTGTAAATTATTTTGCACTTAAAATGTCTGGCTGAGTACCCCTAAAATATGGTAGAAGATTATGAATTCTTTGTTAATTGGGCTTAAAACATAATACTTTATGAATGATGGAAATCCTACGTAGAGCCTACCCCCCACCCCTCCCTAAAATTTGATGGCTGTTCGTTAATGTAATTTTGTCTTACTTTAAAAAAAAATAAACTTCAAAACTACAGACTCCTTCGCTTCCCAAAAAAAAAAAAAAATATTTTCTAACATAAAATTTTCCCATGGAACAGCTGTTCGTGTACATTTACTGCCCACTCAAAAAGAGATGGATAAATGAATACGTAGACATCAACCAAATAGGGATTAAATAGTTCTTTCATTTTTCGCATCTAATTACTACTTTTTATGTATAGCCAGATGTATTTAGTTAATAAACGTGTTGAGTTTTTTCAGGATGATTGTGGAGTGTGAGTAAAAACGAATTCAGAATTTTATGGGTTAACTGGTGTCATGGCTGCATTTATGTGAATGGA